AATTTAGTGGCAAGAATGGAGGAAACTCCAAAGGACACACATAAAACTCTTTAAGGACACAAGTGGTATGGACATCCACCACTGTCTCTTACACTCCACTAGCTATAACTGAGTCACATAGCCATGCCAAGACCCTCAAGAGAGGCTAACAAATGCTGTCAGATTAAACTCACAATGTCTTTGACCCATAGAGGAAAGAATGAATAGGGGTAGATAACTAGTACCATCTACTGGCTGATGTCCCATAGGTATTCTAACATGTCCAATAACAGAGCTGCTGATACTTTCATTCTCCACATATTTCTCCTGTAGCTGGTTCCATTTCTGTGGACACATAGCTATACTCTTTCAATTAAGCATGATAAAAAAATTTAGGGTTGTTAGGGATTCCCACCCCACCCACTTTCAAACTGAATCCATCGGTAGATTTTGTCATACCTTCATTTTATTTCCATCCTGAATCCTCCATCTGCTTGCACTATCATCCAACCACTATCATTTCTCATCTGGGTGATCACAATGGCCTTCAAACTGGTCCTCCTACATCCAGCTTTGAATGGGGTAGTCTGTTTTCCTTAACAAATGCATACCAAAATGTTGCTTTCCAGATCATTCAGTTCCTTTTTGGGGCAAGTATGTCTGTCTCTGAATTCAGCATCTCTCAGGGCTCCACGAGTTCTTTCTTCGTGCAGCAATCCCTGCCTGTCCTTCACTTTCTTCAGCCCACGCCCACCCTCTTGTCTTCTATACTTGGGTATCCCCCAAGTATATCAAATACCCTTCTTGTTAGAGACCTTTCAATTTCTTTTGTTATGGTTGTCCCTATAAGCTCTTTTTAATCTTTGTCTTATTTTTAAGTACCACTCTTCAGAAGATTTTCTCAGGCCCTGAACATTGTATATAAAATAGCACATCTATATCAGTCATTCTCATTTATTTTTCCTTCATTTATTACTCAGAAAAGAGGTACAGTTTTTAAGTATATCTATACCTGTTATAAACCCTGTCAGATATTAATGGCATCGAGCACAGAAATTGCTCCCAATGACCAATAGAGAGATAGATGATTGGCAAAGTAACAGTTCCTCAGGATGCCCATATCTCAATCATGGGAACCCATCATAGGTAACATCACAAAGAAGAGTTAAATTGTAGATTGAATTGATTGCTTTAGCTGAATTTAAAATAGGAGACTAGCTAGTCATGGTGGCACTAACCTGTAGTCCAATGGTCTGACAGGCTGAGGGAGGAGGATTTCAAGTTTGAACATAGCCTGGGTAATTTAGCAATCAGTGCAAGGTCTCTGGGTTCAGTCCTTAGCATGGAGGAAAATATTAGAGTGTTCTGGGTTAGCTGGGTGGGCCCAGGATAATTGGAAGAGTCTTAGCAAGTGACAGAAGAAGAGAGAAAAGGAGAATGGAGAAGGGCCTGCACAAGAGGGCCTGACGCATTGAGCTGGCTATGAAGATGTGGTACCCAGTTGGCAGCCCTGAAATGCACACAGCCTTTCCAAGCAGAATAAGCAAATGGACAGATTCACCCCCACTGGGAGAACAATCCCATCACACCTTAAGTTTAGCCCAAGTGGACCCATTTCAGAGTTGTGACCTTCAGAGGTGTAACACTGTGGTTATGTGCTATTTTAAGCCACTAAAGGCTTGCCATTTATGACAGCAACAATTTAAAAATATCTTATGTAAATTACAGTTTAACATGCAAAAGTTTAATATGGAATTTAGATTTCCTCTCAACTAACATAAGGTGTTGGCCTAAGTCTGAGATCCTTAGAATGTCTATGAGGATCATTTTGTTCACCGATGTTAATAGACAAAAGCAAGCAACTACAGCAAAAATCTCCCCTCACTTATTGCTAAAATAGAACCCATCTTACTGTTATTGCTAATCAAGGCTTCTTGAGGGAGAGGAATCACTGATTATCAGTCATTAACCAAAAAAATTATATCTGGGAATGTCCCTTCTTCTGATTCTAGATTGAAATAAATAACCACTTTGTTTTGTTTTATCTAAATGTCTAGTGAAATAAATATTTCAAACAATTGGAAAATTAGAAAAATATTCTGTTCTGAATTCAAGTAAGATTTCTGATAATATAAATCAAAGTTTTGCTTTTTGTATTTTCAAGTAAACTATTGATCAACTATGTAAAAGAATTATTAATGATTAGCATTTTTGTATAGCATGATCTATGAGCCAGGTACTAAGATATTCTGTATGTATGGTTCATATTTATACACAATCCTACTAACCAGTCTTCATGATAAGTACTTTGTTATATCTTACTTTATTTTTGGAAATTTAAGGCATTTTAAAAGAAAAGGTGCCAAGTCACTGTTCAGAAATGGTATATTTTATATAATGAGGAAACTGAGGCACAAAATTAGCTAAGTTCTAGGTCAGACACTTTGTGAGCTTTTGAAGAAATAATTTTCTCTTAGAACTTCAGCCTGAATGTGTGTGCCTGTATGCTTCAAAATCTTCGGCAGTTATGAATTAAATGATCACAGTGAGACAGAGGCTAGTGTTTAAGCATTTATATGAGTTCATTACTTTTGCGGTTTTTTTTGTTGTTGTTGCATTTCTCTATCCTGTACATTTCAAGTGAGCTGGTTTGTATCTGTTGTGCATTCATGTCTATGTGAAACTGTGTGTGTTTGTGAGTCGCCTTTGCAGCTGCTAAGCACACACCTGCCTCAGCCTGGATCCAGCTAAACCCCACTATTAGTGTATATTATCTTGGGCGTTTGGAACAGTGTTTGTTTGCCTTAGACATTAATTGCTGACCCTAATGCTCCTTTATCTTTAAACAGCCAATCTTCCTCTCAGAACATTCTTCCTATAGCACTATATTTAGCTAGTAATTTGATGTGTTGTCATTTTGTTCCTCCAACTAGTTCTGAATTTAGAATCAGTTTGATAAAATGAAATAAAATATGGAGGAGCATGTCCCTAGGATACAGCAGCAATTATATTTCCTTTCTTTTATCGTTAAGCTGAGCCATTCATGCAACCAGGAACATGAGCTTTAAGTAAAACTTGTGTTTTCACTTCTCACTTTGTGCAATCAATGGAATAATGCATAAATGGGTATTTAACACAAATCCCTTTTAATATATTTTTAGGAAATAAACTAAATCAGTGCACACAAAGGATGAAATGTTATAGTTTCTTTCTGAATTGTTCTTTTGAAAAATGGTCAATAACAGCAAAATTTCTTAAGTACCCCTTTGAATAGGAACCATCTAAGAAATTTAAATTGTTAATGTAAAAATATGGAAACCCAACGACATGTCCACAAAAATGGGAGGTGCAGAATTTGAAACTTTACGTATGTGATGTGCTTTCTTCCCCCTTTACTCTCAAAATGAGATTTCTGATGCAAAATGTTCATTTAATTTTGTGTAGATTCTTTTTCCCCCACCCCAAGATCATTTTCTAAGAATTAAGTAAAGTTGAGCAAATTTGTTTCCTATGAGATTAAGATATACCCTCATTCCCATTACAGTTCATTACTCAAATTACTCATTCTAAAATTAAATTGCAAGTACAGTTTATTTGAATACTTTTCAATTAATCACATTGATTAATTGTTGAGATTAATATTGTTAGATAAGACTGTTGGAGCTATGGGTATCGGCATTTATCTGGCACTCAAGAATCTGATTGATTGAATGAATAGAAGGGAAATTATGGCAGATTTGGGGATCAATGAAGCTATTTTAAGTTATTTTTATAAACAGTGAAAAAAGAAGAAAATGCTGTAGAAGGTTATATATGAGACATTCTGGAAGCAAGTTCATATATTAATTTTTAGTATAGTTCAGTGAAAGATAGTATATGGATTAAGATTACAGAGATAACTAATTTCATTTTACTGGATGAAAACTTTTAATTTCCTTATAAACTAAAATAATAAAAGGATAATAAAAGAATACCCTCCGAGTTAATTATAGAGTTGATTCTCTTTGTTATTTTTAGCTGTCATATTACTACAGATTATTGGAACACATAATTTTTATGGTATGAAATATTCAGATAAAATATAGAGGCCAAATTTTTCCTTTTACAGATTTAATTTATTAGGCAATAACTCTGCATTCCAATATTTGATTCATAAGTTGTTTAAAATATATTTGTAAAGGGAAAGAAGAAAATAAAGTATACCATAAGAATGTTTAAAATAACTATTTGTCTTATGTTTATATAGAATAGATATTTAGGTTAAGATTATATTGTATTTAAATTATGTTTATTATCTCATATTTTGGTTCTGTGCTGTCAGTGAATATTCTGTACAATATCATTGGATATGAAATGGAGTCTGAGATCTTTTATCATTGTATATTATATATATGTACAGTAAAAGATTGTTTTATTTATTTAAAACATTGTTAGGAGAAAACTCCTCTTAAAATACTGCAGTTTTCCATTAAAGACATTTTACTTATTCATAATTAGTAAAACTTTTGTTCAATTTTTGCACAGTATTCATTGTGGGAGCACAAAAATGAACAAGTTATAGTCTCTGACTTCAAAACTACAAAATAGCCCCCATGAAAAGATCATATATTGAAAGCAGCCACACAAACAAGCCAAACAATATGAAAAGAAATGAAGGATTAGCTATATACTTTATATGTATCACGAAAGTTGTGACGCTTTCTTAAAAATGTGCTTAAACGTGGAGCGCAAAACTGGTATATAATTTCTAGAAGAATCAAATAATCTACCCATACAATTGTATTCAAATAACTACATTTTGTTAAAAAGTGGAAACATCATAAATTAAGCACACTGTACTATTGATATAAAGGCAAATTTTCCATTTTTCCCTGATTTAAAAATAGTGTCCAGGGATACAACCTCCTTTATTCACTGAATGGCAAAATCAACTAGTTTTAATATCCAGGAAGATGAAATATAGGAAAAAGTTATTAGACTGTCAATTTTCTCAGACAATTCCAAAAATGCCAGATGCCTACCCGGTCATTAATACTCCAGTTATACATGCAGCCTCAGCCTTTCCGATGACGATGTTGGGAACACCACAGATGGTGTATTGAAAGGGGATAAACACCTGCAAGTAGCGAGGTGGCCACGGCGCAAAGCACAGTTGTGGCAGAGCGACCCTTTTCGTAGTCACTGGGTGAGCCAATTCCCAGGTGGGTGGTGCTCACAGAAGGACATTATCTCCATGGGCTCTGACGGCAGGTCACTGACTGTCCCTGCCAGATCAGTGCCGCACACAGTGTAACGCCATACACCTGTCAGGCTTCCAGAAGGGATCTGATGAATCTATGTAGTAGACGATCTGTTTTGTATCAGAAAAATGCACATTCATTGAATGTCATCCCCATTTATTAAGAGAGCTGAAAAAAATGCATTTTTAGAATAGCTACGTGACTTACCCAAGGTTATAGTACTTGTAAAAAAAACAAGAGTGAGGCACATATTCTGGGCATTAGATATGAAAAACGTGATACTTCTACTCTGTTAGTATAACCTTGCTACCATTCTCAAAACAGTCTATTTTCTTGCATGCATTAGACAAAAATAAGAAAGATATAAATTTAAAAAATATTTGATTGCATATATTTGAGAAATGAAGCCCAACTGTTAATTTATTTTTTAAAAATTATTCTCTTCCGCTAGGGTGGATAAGGTAAATAGGACCACATTACATGTACAGACTCACACTCAGCGCTTAGCCATTCTAATTCAGGTCTGAGATGTGGGCTTGGAAACACTCTTGAATTCCTAGTGCATATCTCTGAAGTGGAGGAGACAATGGACCTGTAAATATTCCTTAGGAGTAGAGGAAATGCCACTCTAAGTAAAACACCCGGATGATTAAACTTCAGCAGATATATATTTATATCCCTGAGAGGAGGCATTGCCAGTATCCAGTAAATAAACGTGGTTACTTATAAACAGTGAGCATGTGACTAATCTTGGAGGAGACACAGTTATTCTGAGTGTCCTAGGAGTTCATGTCCTCTCCAGAGTCTTAGTAAATTGCTATAAATAAGATGAGAATTTGAAAATATAATTATCCCTCATCATGAATAGTTACAAACTCTTTCCTACGGGATAGTTCCTTAGAATAGTTGCTTTGAAGGACCAGCATTGTAACAGAGAAACGGAGTTCCAGTAGTCTCACATAATTCTTTAAATCCCTATAAATACTTTTTTCTATGTCTTACCACTTTTAAATAGCAATGATTTTGTTTCATTGCCTCTTGTTCTATTTCATTAGGATGAAACCAAATGTGTGTGCGTGTGCGTGTGTGTGTGTGTTAACATAAATAGTAATTAGACTCTGACTGGGCAGCACAAAGGTTAAATGTTCAGTCTGTACTATTTTAAAACAAGAGAACAACTGCTTTCTCTGTGTTGATGTTCTCAGAAGCCCCAGCTAGTCTGAGGAGGATTTCTAATTGAGAATGCAAGAGCCACTTACGTTTTAAAGTTCTCCTTCTTAAATGTGCCTTGTGTTCAGGAATCACTTTATAATTCAGGATTCTCTGGGTGTTTATATTTAGAAATCTGCTTGTGAGGGAAGTCTGTTGCCTTAGCTCAGTGTGGGCAGATCAGCCCCTTCTGTGAGCAGAGGCTGAGGATACCATGTATGGTGATGAGATAGGGAGGGGTTAAAATTGCTCTCCTGTTGTAAGAGATGGCAATGACAACCTCCCTTCAATAAGGAGCGGGGGAGGGATAAAGGGAGGAGAGAGCAATGGGAAGAAAATAGGAATTTTAGAAATAGCATGCATAGCTACAAATCCCCTATGATGAATGTAATCATTAAGTATATCTAATTGTACCACTAAACTTAAATAAAAGAAAAAGGACAATGTAAGTTTTTAAGTTTGCCTAAGTGCCCTTTTCTGTTTTTCCCAAGTCTATGTAGTAAGTTTTCACCAATAATATAAGATTTGGTAGCCAGTTAAGACAAGTGCATTACAGTTGAGAACACTCATTTTTATTATATTGTGATGCTATGAGACATAATAATCTAAGAAAGTAAGTGGTGCTGTGTTGTAAATGCAAGTTATCAGATATTCTATTTTCTTAAATTAAAGAACCATATTGGTAAGATTAGCCTCTCTTAAAATTTATTTCACAACATAGAAGTTATGATAACTCCTATCAACAGAGACATTGAGAATTCTTTTTCACACTTGATACCGTATAACCCTATAAAACACAATACTGTGCAATTTTGCAGGTCTATTTGGCTAGAAAGTATCATTTTAAAAATTCTAAAACTGCTTTGTAGTAAGGGCAAGGTCCTGAGTTTGATTTCCAGCACACACACACACAAAAAAAATCAACAACAACAACAACAACAACAAAACAACAAACAAAACTGAATTGTGGTTCATTTCACATTTTCTGCTCTAAGAGTAACTTTTTTTGTTTGTTTGTTTGTTTGTTTGTTTCCGGTACCAGGAATCAAACTCATGGCCTTACGCTCTAAGGGTAACTTTTAACTTGCTTATTTTATCAGCTTTACTAGAAAAAATATAATAAATATCACAAAAGTGTTACTGGTGGTATAGTATATAAATTTAAAATATGATTTTAGAATGGAAATAAAATAAATATCACTTTACTACAACAGTTCACTAGCACCACCCGGGAAATAAGTAACATGAAAATAGCTCTGATAAATTTAAACCATAGATTCTATAGTAAGTTCAACAAAGACAGCAGATGAAATGCTGAAGGCATTAATATATATCCTTATAAACTGTTCAATGAAATAAATCATATCTCAGGTTAGCATAGCCTGTTATTATTAGGATTTTCAGGAATCTCATGATTATTAGGAGAAAGTTAAATATGCAGAGCTATGGCTTTGTTCCTCCTCTCTTCAAATTTCTTTCTTTCTTTCATTCTTTTTTTTTTTTTTTCTTTTTTCTTTTTTGTCTTTTTGAGACAGGATCTCGGTATGCAGTTCAGGCTGGCCTTGAGCTCAATTTGTAGCCCAGGCTGGTCTCAAACTCACAACAATCCTCCTGCTTCAGCCTCCTGAGTGCTGGAACTACAAGCATGTGCCACCATGTCCAGCCTCAAATTTCTAAATTGATTCAAACATTAATTTAATAAAGATGTGAAGATTACAATAGATAAAGTACTGAAGTAAGTATGGCTGGAGTCTATGAAAAGAATTTAAAAAAAATGTAGAACAGGAAAAATAAATTTGAGAATAGTTTGAATGGTTGGGCATAGGCCGGCACATGCCTGTAATCCCAGCATGAGGAGGCTGAGACAGGAGGATCATTGTGAGTTCAATACCAGTCTGGGCTTTGCAGTGAGCTCCGGGCCAGCTTGAACTGCACAGTGAGACCTTATCTGAAAAAGATAACAATAATAATAATAATAATAATAATAATAATAGTTAAGCATGAAGATTCTATGCTACTGGTATTAGTACTAGTCTAGAACTACTAATGTGAACTTTTGTGATTCAGGTCAGTTGGTCCCATCCTTTGAACGATAGGTATGCTCTTTCGATATAAGTGACTGAGTACAGGATATTTCAACAGGAACAGTAATTACTAATTCTATTCCCATTAGAAGAGAAATATAAATTAGTTAATGATTTTCTTTCCTTATCATTTTTTAATTTAATGATCCTGAAAATGCTGGATAACTGTTTGCTGTTAGAATTACAAAAGAGTCAAGCAGCGCATTTCTTAAAGCAAGTAATGGATTTTTAAGTCACTGTGTCATGAAAGGTTAGCAAATTTCTGTGGTCATTTCACCTTAAGTGCAGAAAATGCAATTTCAATAGATGTCAGATAAATAGTTTCAGAAATACTCCTCTACAAATTACTTTTGTCAGATACATGGTAACTTACATTTATAATGTATGGATACTTGAAGAAAATCTATTATGCCTTTGTAACATGACTTGTGGCAGTGAACCCCCAGACAGCTTCCTAAATCTTCCATGCTAAAGGCACATGTTAATGTAAAAGAAATACCAGTGAAATTACATGTTTAAACCAGTCATTAGGCATTCTCTTTATGCAGTGCTTTAGCAAAATGATTATACTACCTTAGATAGAATATATTAATCCAGAAGGTTTGGGATAAAAGATCAGCAATATTAAATTAACAAAATAGAGACATAATTTAATTTAATTTAAAAACAGAAATGAAGCTTATAATATCATTTCTAACCTGCTTGCTGTCTTGAGGTATTGATATGACTATTCTATCTAAAAGCATGTTATGCTCCTTAAACAACAACAAAAAATTATACATAAAATCATTTTTAAGGACTAGGCCTGGATAAGACAACTAAGGCGTGTCCTTTGCATGATTTTTCTCCAAATTCAGGCAAGGGCAAAGGGAGATGTCTCTTTGGCTCTACCTCAGATATCAAATGTCATAAATTTACTTCCATGTCCTTGATTTTGAATTTTTAAATTATCAGGTATTATTTAGTTATAGATTTTTCAAAAAATAGCTTTTATATTCTTGCAGCCAGTTGTAAATAACCCCCTGTATACATTACTATAAAAGTAAAATATTTTTGTTTTATCTTCCCATCTAAGTAAATATTCATGAACCCCTAGCATCTAGGACTATTTGATTTTCTAATCAGTTTAACATGCAATAAAGAAGAGCATACTTTCGTGAAATTATATCCATTTTGATTAATATAATTGCATGTGTATATTTGTACATAAGAGTAGGGTAAAACATACTCTAAAAGTACTAAAGGTGACTTTCTTCAGATTTTGGATTCATTCTATTAACACAGTCTTATATGTTTTGATGCCAATGTGTTAATCATGGATAACATCTGTAAAACAAGTAGATTTTATATTCATACTATCTATTAAAATTTGCAAAATACTAATATAGTTACAGGACATGAAATATATTCCCCCAAATAATTACCATCTAAATTATTATTCAATTAAAAGTAATATCCTAGCACATTAGCTATTTTGTATAGGCAAATTAGTCTTTTATGTTCTGTTATCAAGGCCCATAAATAGAATCAGAAGTTGTGTTGAAATTATAACTGCAAAAATAATTACATACACACACAGGATATGTCAGCTGGGCATGGTGGTGCATGCGTATAATTCCAGCACTCAACAGGCTGAGGCAGAAAAGATCACTACAAACTTGAGACCAGTCTAGGCTATATAGTGTGTTTAAGGCCAACATGAAC